GCGCTTTAAACTCCGTATTACGGTATATTACGTTCAACATCTAAAAAAAAACATCTAAAAGGCTTGATACACGTCTTGTTGTTTTACTGATCAGAATTTGTTTCTGAGTCATATTTCGGGCATGCCTGAACTGATCATGTTCAAATTTACACATGCATCATACATCATGTTACAAATATGCACATGCTTATCATTAATCCAGATACAAGACGGCCGAATAGCGGCCATATTGCCATTTCTGCTATTTCGAAACTGGGTCATGGTTACTAAACTTAGTAGATACATTAAACACTATTGAACCTTGATGAGTGTCGTTTTGTTTTGTACATTGGTTTCAAAGTGGCTGATTGGTCGCCATTTTGTTTCAAAGATTTTTTCCTGGGCGTTATTTCTAGCTTGGCAGTCTGCATACGAACGTGCATACATACTAATGCACACCTTGCATATATATGAATTAACATTCACGCCATGTTCTGAAAAAAGATCACCACCCTTTGTAGTGAAATACTTCAAGATCCGCCTTCATGAAACTAAATTTCCGGCGTTCATGGATGGATTTGGTTCAAATGCGGTACATATCTATAAGAATTGAATATAAGAATAGTTATAGAGAGTAATCTTCATATCCTCCACGGGCGAGATAGTTTTAGCCATGGGATTGTTTCCGTGTCGTTATCGTGCGCGCAACTATCTCATGACTTACTACAAAGTTTCGAAAAACAACTGCGCCACGATACCGGTCATGGGTTTGAATATTTCAGTTTTTAAACTATAAATTATTTATATAGCCTCTTTCCTTTGGAATTGTCTCATGCGATTTCCCCTCAATGTTTCCGTGAGATATCTGTTGAACCCAGTTGTAAACTCACATCCAGTCGGATGTGAGTTTCTTGTTATAAACAGTGGTCACAGGTCACGATTCAAGTTACTTGTTATCGTCTTTTCGCATTCGTCGCTCTTCCTTCTGCATGTTTCAAACAAACTTTTGAGAATAAACACATGTTCATTACAAATGTATTCCAATATTATCTACCCTAAATATGAATTATATTTCTTAAGTGAATTGACATATGATTGTAGTATACGTTAGGTTATTTATAGATTACTTCGATGTATTATAAATTTTTACTTTTTCAACTTCTTCTTGAAAAATACAATACCTATTTCTTTGATACTTAATGTATATGTACCTGGGAAGACCTCTCTTTGATTTGTTCCTTTTCATGATAATATCTTGAATTTTCTAATTTTGATGAATATTTTTGTCATTTTGGGTAAAAAGTAATATTTTCGACTCATTGTTAAGTCTGATTGCCTTGATGCTATATGTATAGATACATCAGGCAGACCTCTTTCAGATTTGTTCATTTCCTGGTGATATCTTCAATTATTTAATTTTGATAAATATTTTTGTCAGTTTGGGGGGAAAATATATTTTCGACTTCTTGTTGAAAACAGCAAGTCCGATTTCTTTGATACTATACATATATGTACCTCTGGTAGACCTCTCTCATATTTGTCCAATTTCTAATGATATCTTCTGTTCTTTAATTGAAATATGCATTGCGAACATCGGAGCTATCTCAGCTTTTTTAGATTATTAGACATTTGAGACGTCTACTGACGCCTTTCATTTTTGTTGATAAATCATACAACGTTGTCTCAAATTTCAAACTTGACTTATCGCTCAATAAAGAACACATGACATGTATTTGGAATTTACGGTCAAGGTCCGCGGTAGCATTTCATTGGTGCAATTTAGAAGATTTCCTTCATAAATTGGTAGGCTAGAGTACGTACAGGAATCGTTGCCAGGCGATAAGTTTACACATTGCAGTGATATAAGTAGTCCAGTATACAACGCTTAGAATAGGTTTATACAAAAGATTCGATACATGACTTGTATAAACCCTGCCAGTTAGTTCGCAAGACAATGAGAACTCAGATAGTATTGTAAATCAGCAACTAGGTTTAGTCCGACTACTATCTCTCCGCCTATATCACCAGTCAGTTTTGTTGATCTCCCGGCTCAGTTTCGAACGGTGACCTGAAATGCCGTCCTTCACAAATCTTGATTATTCAAATCCATTGTTGGTTCTGTAGTTCTTTCGTTTGAACAGTCATAGTAATTGTCCCTACTTAGAAAGTAGGAAAATACAATGGCAAAAAAATCATATTGTTGTCAGTGGAGAAAGTATGTACGTTAAATAATTATTAATTAAATTTCAATTATATATCAGTTTATTCACTCGTCTTTTGAAATGTTGTTGACACAATTCTGTTCGTATATATAATAATTAAGAGTGTCAATCATTAATTTTATTTTCAACTTTCGGCATAATCGGTGGAGTATTCTCCGAATAGCTTCATGCTGTCAATTTATTTAAATGCTAGGCAATTTACAACAAGCCCTGAAAATTATGATGTAATAAAATGATGTAATTTGAGGGAAGATGAGAGATGAAGAATATTTAACCTCCATAGCCGGGATAGTTTTATACCGTCGCGATACCAGTCATGGGTTCGAATTATATTTCAGTTTTTAAACTACTGAGAATATATGGCTGCTTTCCTTTGTAATTTCCCCAACGCGATTTCCTCTCAATGTTTCCGTGAGATATCTGTGGAACAGTTATAAAAACCTTCATAATGATGACGGAAGTGGATTTCTAATTATAAACAGTGGCAACAGGACGCGATTCCAGTTACATATAATCATGTGTACCATCTGTTCGCATTCGTCACTCTTTCCTCTGCATGTCTTCCACAACAATTTGAGAATAAACACATACTCATTACAGATGTTTTACAATATTGTATACCCTAAATATGAACATCGACATATATAATTGCGGGATATGTTATGTTATTTATAGATTACATCGAAGTATTACAATACGCTATAGTACGTTTACAGCAGTGATTTAAATGAATAAATGATTAAGTGTACACACTACCGGTTCTTTTAATGGGCAATTGACAATATACATCTTTTATGTGATTGTATGTGAAACATATAACTGTACAATCAGCAAATAATGATAATTCTATTCTCTTACTTGTTTTGATATATAACGATTGTTTTTTTTGAAAGATAGTGGATGTGCTCATCCTGGAAAAATTGTAAATGGATTTCAGAAAGACTACGAATCGTTCAGCATCATCACATACCAGTGCTACGATGGTTATTTGTTGAAAGGCTCGTCATTAATCTACTGCGACGGCGCCACCTGGAATGACACGGTGCCGGAATGCGTGAGAAGTACAGCTAGGGTATCGTCCGCACCATTGTATAATTGCCATGACCCAGGGGAAGTGGATAACGCTGTACGAAATGATGACCCACTCCATGGCACTATCAGTTATATTTGTATAGGTGATTACAAGTTGCTCGGTTCCCAGGTTATAGAGTGCCAGTTTAATAAAAAATGGTCGTCATCGAAACCAACATGTGCCAGTAAGTCAAAAATGTTGATAAAAAAGCGATAAAGGAATATAAAGGATTGATATAACGCCTGCATGACGATGATATCACACAATTAATCAGTAAAATCAATCAATCAACCAACGAATCAATTAATATGTTAGCCAGATAGTTTGAGTTGTGTTGTCTTCTCCAACAACGTAACTTTAGTGTAGTAAAATGCTTGCAAATTTGAATTGTTTTAATTGTTTTTTTGCTATTGTTTTAGAAAAAGGGTGCGTGGAATTATCAGTTCCAATGAATGCATCAGTGATTCCGATCTACGACGGTGCAGCCATGTTGTACCAATGCGATTCGGGTTATGAGATCATTGGTTCCACGATAATATACTGCGATGGTAGAAACTGGAACGATTCCATTCCACAATGTGTCCACCTAAAATCCGAAAGTGATAGAACACACAACGTTGCTGTCCCACGCCCGAGCGGTGTGTCGGACAATGAAAACGACAGCTTGTTTCGAATTGACGATGGAATGCGCTGCGATTTTACAAACGTCAGGCAACCCAATTCTGGATATGGCATTATCACCAAACGAGACAGTTATGGTAGTTTCTATCGTGTTGTTAAGTATTTCTGTGCAGAAGGTTATAAATTGATAGGAGGTGATTTGGAGCTGATTTGCACACATGGTAAATGGGTCGGCGATTTTCCCGTGTGCAGCCCAGGTAATGAGATGTGATAAGTGACTAAATGTTCATCTTTCGTGCAATATTAATTCCTTCACACAGTTTTTGTTCACATTTCCCACATTACCCATGGAAATGACTAAAGAAGCACGGGGTCGAATTTTCCTCTTGTTCAGCAATGTTTTAAAGTTATTCAAAAAACATTAAAAACCTCGGTCTCGCCTCGGTTGACTATCAGCCATGCAGCTGGGATATCTTTTGTAATCGCCAACACAGGCTGGTTTAAAATCTGTGACCATACTGACTATATATTTTTTCTCCAGACGATCCTTGTGTAGTCAATAACGGCGGGTGTGAACATAAATGTAAGAACATTAATGGCCAAGTTCAATGTGAGTGTAATAAAGGGTATGAACTGAAGAATGGTATCAAATGCATAGGTAGGACATGTTTGTAAACATTTGATTGCTTGCAAATTCACGGTACCACTCGTTAGCTCTGCTGTCGATTGTCCGTCGTCCGTGTCAACTTTTTACTTATTCGACTTCTTCTTGAAAACTACAATTCTCATTGCTTTGATACTCGTGATATATATTTACCCTGAAAAGACCTCTCTTAGATTTGTTCATTTTGTGATGTTGATATCTTCAATCTCTGATTTTGATGAATATTTGTGTCATTTTTGGTAAAAAGTGATATCTTCGACTTATTGTTAAAAACCGCAAGTCTTATTGCTTTGATATTAAACATATAGGCACTACAGGTAGACCTCTCTCAGATTTGTTCATTTCGTGATGACATCTTCAATTCTCTATTTTTTATGAATATTTTGGTTATTTTTAGTAAAAAGTGATATTTTCGACTTCTTTGTTAAAGAGACACATAAAAATGGGATTTACGTACGTTCATGTAATTGTACATATTGTCCTTATTTTAATAGATATTAACGAGTGTTTGGATGGTAAAGGACATGGTCCATGTCAACATAGTTGTACGAATACTAATGGTGGATATTCGTGTTCCTGTTTTACTGGTCATATACTCATGGAGGATGGTATCAACTGTCAAGGTAACTGTCAAGGACTAACTATCCCTACTTGCGACGGTGTTAACGTTCGATTGGGAAAAATCAAATCTGGTGGCCCTCGAATTGCCATATATGTCACGTCCCAAATGCCTGAGTGTGACACGTTGAGGACTCGACGAACTGGAACGTCGAGTTATATATTCACGTCGGAGTTGAGCGGATTTGAGGTGGCGCTACACAAATCTTGGCGTCAAGATGACTGTTAGAAAATGATTGACGCTCTCTCCGAAGACGTCTTGTTATAAATGAGCTGTCTCGGCTTGCGTACTTGCAAAACAACAAACAAAATGGCGCGCCTATAGAACGAAAGAGCACTACATTCACATTCGCGTCCACATTCTTTTCCATAAATACGCAAGTTATGCACAACATTCTTTTCCCTGCGCGCGATAAACAACAGGCGTCGAGTTATTATTTCACGCGTGACTTAAACGGGATTCAAGATGGCGCCACGCACGACTCGTGTGTCGCTGTTGTTCAAAATGACTCTATACTATAAATTATTTTCAGTCCGTTGCCAGAAATCGATTGCATTATACAATTGATCAACATGCTGAATATGTTTCATCAAGAATAAGCTCTCTCGCTTCGCATAACCTGTGAACAAACAAAATATGGCACCGCCGATAAACCGGAAGTGCAGTTTTTAAACGCTTTATGTTATATAAATGTAAATATATTTGTGGAGCTAGCTAATATATTCTAAAACGGTGTAATTCGAAAAATTATTATTTGTTATGTGTAACTCTTTTATCAGTTTTACCATGCGAGGATGACAATGGAGGATGCTCACATATTTGTACAAATGATGATAATCAGGCTGTATGTTCTTGTTACCGTGGATACTACATCGACCAGGCTGATGGGAAGACGTGCATTGGTACGTAAAGAAACATATTTCAGTAATAAGGAAACGTTAACCATTCCATCAAGACTAATATCATATATACAATATAATAATATATTAACATTTAATTATCTATGGGCGTTTAGTGCCATTACTAAACGTCTTATTAAAAATACGTTTCCGCGATATTATTTTGCTGACTTTATTATTTCAGACATTAATGAATGTATATTGGCAACACGATATATTTGTCCGAATGCCAAGTGCGTAAATACCCCTGGGTCGTATACATGTGAATGCCAAGATGGTTTTTATAGGACTGCATATGGATCTTGTATAGGTAATTATATATTTGCCATTGTGTTATAAATTATAATTTACTAAATTGTTGAATTACTCTGATGGTTATCACGACCAGCAGTATGGTCTGCATATACTATATATATATCTACTTATATATACATGTTATTAGATCGCGACGAATGTCAACAAAATAATGGAGGGTGTGTCCATCACTGCACTAATACACAGGGAAGTTATCTATGTCATTGTCCAATTGGTTTAGTTCTGGGAGAGGACAAACATTCATGTGTTGGTAAGTGATGTTTTGTTGTGATTGTCTTCTATACAGTACATTGTTATAGCCTGGTTCTCTGTTGAAGCGATTACATTAAAAACTATTCTTTATCGTTAGATTTGAACGAGTGCAGCCTGCAGCAATTCTCTCGTCGCTGTTCTTTTGGGTGTGAGAATACCTATGGATCGTTTAGATGTACATGCCCACGTGGTTTCATCACCGCTCCAAACGGCATACAATGTTTAGGTGAGACGTAATGTTCATCACTTTAATAAACATCTATTTCCGAATATATTAATAAATAATTTCGCAGAAACGTACACGATGTAATCGTTACCATGATCATTTGTATTTAGATATTAATGAATGCTTGCAAAATAATGGACGTGGTCCGTGTGCCGACAGATGCGTCAACACTCATGGATCATATGTTTGTTATTGTACACATCGTGGACATCAACTGGCAGATGACGGATATGGATGTGACGGTAATTGAAGATACATGCATATAAATTACGTTTACTTGAAGGGCGGCGGTCGTCGCGCCGCGTCCTGTTCGATATGGGAATCATAGCGACGTACACAACGCGTGTAAAATACATGGTTTATTTACATGAAATTCGAAACGCGCTGCGCGACGATCACCGCCCTTTAAGTAAATTCGAATGCAATATAGTTTGATAATCATTTTCAGATTCTGTGCATTCTCTGTACATGTAGAGAATATTTCATGAGTGACCCTTTAATTTCAGATTTATTAAACAGGTCTAGTAATTTCCATCAACAAATGAAAATGACTACACACGTGTAATAAGTTTAACATTGTAGGATTACGAATTTGATATCCCGTTCCGCGTATATCTTTCGCAGATTATTAGTCCCCGTTTCAGGCGCAGCCTGAAAAGGGTAGTATAGTTTCTTATTTCCGGTTTCTGTCCGTGACATCTCCACATTTTCTCAGAAATTCTGCAGCATATATCGATGAAACTTGGCAGGTTGATGAATAAGTCTCTGTTGAATATGCACGTATTTTTGTCCAAATCTGAAAATCCTAAGGGAGTCTTTTTCATGATTTTCATCCAAAATTATCACTTCCTACAACACTGTGAAGACGCGACTGGGCATGCTCAGAATAAATAATTAGCTTAGATTGTAATGCTAGGGTTTACAATGATGGCATGACCTTGATCTGAATCACTGACAGAAATGAACCACAGTCTGGTTTTTGTTTGGTTTTATGAAAAATTAATGTTGAAATCATGAAAACAGTGGTCAGAAATGTTGTTGTATACTATATCTTTAAACTGTAAAAATTGCATTCCAAACTAAAAAGCCATCACTGAAATACTGGGTCACAAAGTTGAAGATCAGTGAAAACACTTTGCAGTTACTATTTATAAATCTTGGCCAGGCAAATTGACACATGTGGTCCTAATATAGCTTCAGTTGTCCAAATGGTTCGTACCATTACGAATCTTAATGGGAACTGTAGATTGGTGTCAGGGCTACATTTTGATGGGAATTACAGTGGTGATACTGAAACAAGTCCAGGTCCTGGTAATATACAAAGACCTGAATTAACACAAATTCAAGTTGTTCATCAAGGTTTACTCTGGTTTATGAATGCAGTTTGTTGAGCTTGTATACATGTATGAGACATAAATTGGTTGCACTTGTGTAAGGGAAGTCACTTTATGATGAGTACAACTCATAGAGTAAATATTAATTCAACTGTTTGCAGAAGTATTATTTTAACATGAGTATTTTATATTTAAATGACGGGGACTATGACATTCATGTCCTTTTGAAACAAGAGACTAGCGCTGTGATCGAGGGTTTCAGTGAGCGGGTTTTCAAAACAATACAGAGCATCCTGTCTAATTTCATAAATGATCGCCATTCATGAACATCGATTTATTTTTGGAGCCATCACTATATTCAATGTGTCAGGGATGCATCGGTAACTAATTTTGGAGTTAATCATTCCAACCTAACCTTTTCACAATACATGAAAAATTGCCGCTATATGCGTGGATGAATCTAATTTCTTTGCGCAGAAAGGTTTAGGTTGGGAGAACTTGAAATTTCATTGCAAATACATGCTTTATATCACATACCAACAGCTAAAACTAAATCCTTAAATTTAGCAATGTTTGCTCAGTATTACATGGATAAAATACCCATGCCATTTGATACAAATAATGAACCACACATGTGCTTTTTCATCTCGACTATTGTCAATATCTCATGTTACAGTTCCCCCCTCCATGTTATGTCGCTTCTTTACTGCGCTTTGAAAGTAAATTATACACAAATAAATACTCCAAATTCCTTTTCCTACAAAATATTTACCGCTATCCATTTGATTCATGTAGATATTAACGAGTGTTTAATTGAGGGTACTTGCCACCATAACTGTATAAATCTGCCAGGCAGTTATCAATGTACTTGTCATGATGGATATCTCATTATGCCCGATGGGAAAACCTGCGATGGTAAGTGGAAGTTCACTCTCCTGCAACATATACAGTGGAAATTGACAGTTCGACATGAGAAGCGTGCACAATTTTGTTTCGTTTGGATTCATATATCAAAATACAGTCGTTGTCACTATCCAACTGCACATATGGTCGCTGTATGTATTCCAAACTCAATGAATAATGAAAGTGACCAATAATATACAGATAAAACATAAACAAATAGTATCGATAACACTCGAGTCGCCCGATGAACGATGATTATAAAGGTCAGTTTTAATTCAAAATATGTGTTTTTTTCGTCAGGTTGTCGAATTAATTCCTTCAAAAGTTCTAGTACCAACGAGTGCATAGAATGTCCAAGAAACTCTCACACAAAGGGGACAGGCAAAACCTCTCTTAATGACTGTGTTTGTAACAGTGGTTTTACTGGGGACCCTGGTAATGGTATTAACTGTCAAGGTGTGTATACAATGAATGCCCTATGCATTGACCTGTGAAAATACATAGTGAGTATAAGCATGGACCTACTTCAACCCATGGATATAAGCTTGTCAACCAGCAGGCCAAAGTACACGAGATGATGGTCTGTCTCGTTCCATGTATGTAAGCAAGTAGTTTAAATATAACACGAGCATTTAGAACACACTTGTACTCGAAACCAGATCAACGTGCAACACAGCGTTACATCACGAGATTTAGCGTAACAATTTTTAAAATCTCAAAACGACTTAAACACTGCACCAAATATGAGCAATATTTTACATGCAAAGACCGACAATCAATTCAAACAGTAGTATGCTCCATTAGGTTATTGCAAATTCGATTATTTATTATCGTTATTTGTTGTTATCATTGGAAAGAATGTAAGTACCTGACGAACATCCTAATTATGTGATGCATAAAACTTACATCATGATGAATAATATACAGAAGATAATGTTAGTGCGTGCTTAGAGTTTAGAACCTATCTGAATCAAGTGCGCCACTGTACTCTCAGTGCAACAAATGCATTCCTTCTATTTATAGATATTTATAATAAATTTTACAATTCAGTCTGAAACGAGTCTTCTATTGGCCGATTGAGTAACATATTAACGTTTTCAAAATAATGACGTTGTTGCGCACTGTGTAACTGGCATTGAAATTTATACATATTTACATGTATTAAGATGAATGGATGCCTTCGTTGCGCTGGGAGTATAATAATTGCGAACTTTTCTTTTCTTAGATATAAATGAGTGTCAAACAGACAACTTTGGCTGTTCTGATAACTGCGTTAACACCCCGGGGAGTGCTTACTGTGTCTGTAATGTGGGATACCGCTTAGAAAATGAGAAGGTGTGCATTGGTATGTAATATTACAATTATAGTACAATATTGTAAAACATTAGGAGTCTAATATTCCATCGATAATACGTGTGTGAGATCTTCCACAAATGTTCCAGCTATAAGAAGTAGTCGCACCTGGACGAGTTGGTGTCAGTGCGGAGAAATGATTTCGAGTTAAACATAATAAAATTAATTGATGCGAGATTTGTTATTACATTGTATATTGATGGTTCTCACTAGATATTGATGAGTGTAGCCTGGGTAATGGTGGATGTGAACACACGTGTAATAATACAGATGGTAGTTTTGCATGCACGTGTAAAGACGGATATATTATTGATCCACTAGATCCCTATTTATGTGCAGGTACGTGATCAAATATCTAGTTATTAATCTCGAAATAAAAAATGAACCCTGGCACATTATTGATGAATGTTTTCCCGTGAATACCACCAGATATTGACGAATGCCTGCATAATAATGGAGGATGTGATCAACGATGTGTTAACTACCCAGGAGGCTATCTGTGTGAATGTGACGGAGCATCGATCGTGGACGATGACAGGAAGACTTGCAAACGTAGGTCTGCTCGAGATTTTTACTTCGCTAGCTTACCGATATGCGATTAGCATTATAACTTGAATTCTAAGAAATAAGCGACAAATGAATCGCAATTTATATTGATATATGCTCAATGCATGTGCATGTTAATATTTTCACATGAGGAAGTTCTCTCTTTGAAAATTATGGACATGACAACACGTTCTGTTTCAATTACCGAAAAAAACAAACATCGACCAATAATTCTACGAACTTTAGATTTTACATGAAGTATTGCTTACATTTTCGGAAATGTCTTAGGAAATTCCTAGTAACTAGTTTTAATGGTGCTTGGCACCATAAAATTATACGGACTTTATCATTAAATCTGACCAAGGCGATGCAATAAATCTTATGTATGTGCAACGTGTGTATATATTTATTGTTTGTAATTTATATTTGTTGCAGCTGTGGTGTGCAGTGCCCTTGCTATACCGGCACGTGGACGAGTGAAACCTCGGGGCAAATGTACTGGCAGCAATCCAGACACTTTATTAGAGGGTATGTTAAATCCACAGCTATGTGACGGTGGTCATAATACACTGACACCATTGGCGGGTTTCCGGCGCGCGCGATATTGTATTCGATTTCGCCAGCGTGTTGTTAGAGAAGCTGGCTCAATAGAAGTTGGTTCTCAACGCTCCCGGTTCTCATCTCATGCATGACCACTTATTTCACAAATTCGAGAAAATTTCGTAGTTGCAATTTTTTTTTTATTTTAGTGATTTAGTGAAGACAAGCAGCAATGCACTAAGATGAAAAATATGGCGGAGTCGATGACGTATGTCACATGACAATGAAGCAAATAGTATATTTACTTACTAGTATTCAAACATTCATGTACACCATATTGACTTTCTTTCCGTTTGTATTACTTGATATGTCGTCGTTTAAATACTGTGTATTATTTTATTGGACTCAACTTTAGTTGGAACGGAATGCGTGTTTGATTGCTTGAAAGGATATGAATTGGAAGGATCTGATCGCCGAATCTGTGAGCCTAATGGCAGATGGTCAGGTTCAGAGACGTCTTGCAAGCGTGAGTATCGTGATTACCACCACAGTAGTAGTTCACTCTGCAATCTTGTATAATAAACATCATGAAAATAACCAGTCATCGTGTGATTAGCTCCGTCAACATGTACATCGCGTGCAAGCTTCTGTTACATAAAGGATAAACATACAACGTTCAGAGCGTCGATATTGTTTTGATCAAATAGTGTTCCATTTTTTCTCATCGGTGCATCCAATGTTCCGAATACTCATGGTTATTTTAGTGGAACAGTGGGTGGCATTACACGACAGTGGACACCATGACAGGAGCGATTTTAATCCTAATTGAGGGGCGACAACAAGTTTTGGGGCTCTCATTTCTCAATGAAATCTCGGCGCCCACTTGCACCCGAAGTCTATTCTATATTAGTACCGTGTCTCAATATCAGACAGCACGATATATTCCAATAGTGAATTATTTCCACAAAATATACAAGTGACGTCATATAATAATAATTTCTTTCATAGCTGTCTATTGTCCAGCAATTGTTCCGCCGGAGAATGGGCGTTTATTGCCAGCGTCGTGTCAAAACAGTCAGAGCCCTTACCAATCCCAGTGTGTATTTACCTGCGATGAAGGATACCGGTTAAGTGGTCCTCGAATAACTAAATGTCTTTTCAACAAAAAATGGAACAGTCGTGACAGGGAACCTATGTGTATTAAAGGTAAGTCGTTGGGGCTTGAGTGGAATAATCGATATATACTATAGAGAAAATGTGTTACATGTAATAACGTAATTATACATTGCTGACAAGAGGTGGCCATCTTTCCATCGCGCCCTCTAGCGACAAGGTGCTTCTGTGACGCGATGAGTCACGAAACGCCGTCCATATTGTGTTGATCTGTTTTTTTAAGCTTGCTATATACAGAATTTAATTCACAAGGAAACATTGTTATTCATTTGAAAGACATTGATTACATCCATTTGCGCCGTTTAACGTCAGAGAAGCTCTTCGTCACTAGGGGAGCGATATATTAGAAAGATGCATTGTACTTCAATAGATGCATTAAGTATTTAGTAAGGCTGCAGTATTAGTAATATATTTTCTTCATCATGCCTTCCCTTGTCTTAGATGTACAGGAACCAGTGATTACTTGTTCCCCTGACGTGACGGTTGACCTGGACCAGGGGAATTCAACTGCAATTGTATCTATTCCCACACCAGTGTACGAACACGGGAGCCTTCGAGTGAATCGCCCTACCCACAATGCACCTTTTCCCGCCGGCACTACTCTGGTGTACTTCACAGTCGTGAGCGACGAGGATGAAAAGAAGGCGGCTAATTGCACCACCAAGGTCAATGTTATAGGTAAATGCAGAAATACATTTTAAACATATGCATAGAATGTATACCTTTCCAAAGACAAAAAAAACATAATTAAAATACATTTGTATATATAACCTAGCGCAAAATCGCAAAGGCTACATTTGACCACTACATCAACATTTGGACGTGGGACGTGACTTTATTATAATTTGGAGGGAGAAGTAACGCTGTTCGTAACCCCCTTCCCATTGAAGAAGAATTGTCCTCCCTCCAGTAACTTTTCCCCACTACTACCATCCTTTCGTTACTCGCTCTGGCTTCCTGTGTCTCCTCAATGCGAATCTACCCGCTTCCTTCTCCCCTATATACACATATTTCAATTTCAGTAAAACCTTCATATTTGTTTGCCCGTAGCTTCGTTAAATGATCCGTCTGTATTACAAACCTCTCAGGAATACATGAAATTTACTCGTCAAAACAATCGCATACATCTCCGGTTAACAAAATAATCACCCAAACTTCTGCGAGCGCCGCCATCTTGGAAAATCGTTCTTTGCATAGCAACGGCCTTTACAAGTGGCAAAGATCAATGCACGCTTCACTGATAAATACCGGGGTTTCTATTCTAAACCATGTATTGAATTCGTAAAGACGTATAATAATTGCATAATAAATTCTTATTACGCAAATACAATTTATAAATTATTGTACTTTTTTTCTTTCTCAGATAAAGAACCACCAAAGGTACTTCACTGTCCAGAGTCGATGTTCGTTGAAACGGCTGAACAGTATCCAACAGATATACAATGGGAAGACGCGACGTTTACGGACAACGTAGGGATTAAAGATATTCTTCCCTTCTTTAGGGTTAGTGACATATTTGTTACTTCTTTAATGGAACAAATCATAGCGAATTCAGAAGTGTTAAATAGAGACAGCCGGGACTGTGATAACACGTAACGATATTAATCAGTTAATTAACAGCGGCACATTCGTCTCGCGAACAAAAATAGTTCAAGTTGCATACATGGAGCTCCGGGGCTTAAACGCGGACGGCGAGGCTTTTATATGATGTCGACCAATGACTAAATGAACATAAATCAATGTACCTGCATGTTGTCGTATTTTTTATAGTACCTGCATTCGTTAAGTATATTCACACGTTTCGCTATTTTCTGGTTTCTTCAATAGAATCCCGGTGGTACACTTACCTGGGGTATTCATCATATAAAATACATTGCCAAAGATGCAGCTAACAATGCAGCAGAATGTTCTTTCAATATCGTTATAGAGCGTAAGTTTAAAGAAACTGGCTACATTAATTACCGGTTTTCAGATTTTTTTCACATTTGTCAAGACAAGAATAATTTAAAAATTTGCGATTATCAGCAATACCAGCGCTTGAAACGATGCCGCCATTGTTTATTCGCCACAAACAAAATGACCAAATTCAACGAGTTCATTATAAACGAAATCTAAATGTTCTTCTGAAGAATCAAAGTGATTCAGGTATGTTGTGTTATCTTTGGACAGCAAAAATAAGTTTACCTTATGAATTTTAATCTGATTATAATTTAAATATCAATGCGCATGCGCACCTCTAATTATCAGTACGTATCATTAATTCAAAGTGATTGAGCATACTGTTGTACTTACTACAAACATACACCTTAATTTTATGGTAAATACTAAACGAAATCAAACTACAGTATGAAACAAGAATACCTTTATTGCATATTGTAACTATTTCGGCAAGGGGTCGATTCCGTTATAAATTTGGTTTTCGTATTTTGCAGCGAAAAGTTGCGGTTTACCTGATGGTCCACTGAATGGTGTCCCAGACTGTGTGGACTGGTTATATGGTGAAATATGCAACCCTACATGCAATGAAGGATATGTATTTTATGAGGGAACAGCGAAAAGCGTGTATGTATGTGGTGTTGATGCAAAGTGGTCACCGAGCAGGCAACTACCAGACTGTACAGGTAAATATTATCCCACGAATATACACACATACACATACATATATCATGTCCCCAGAAACTACTCTGATCCGAGAAGTGAAGGTATACAAACACGGTGACACGATATACTAGTAGACACAGGGTAACACGATATACACACATACACATACATATATCATGTCCCCAGAAACTACTCTGATCCGAGAAGTGAAGGTATACAAACAAGGTGACACGATATACTAGTAGACACAGGGTAACACGATATACACACATACACATACATATATCATGTCCCCAGAAACTACTCTGATCCGAGAAGTGAAGGTATACAAACACGGTGACACGATATACTAGTAGACACAGGGTAACACGATATACACACATACACATACATATATCATGTCCCCAGAAACTACTCTGATCCGAGAAGTGAAGGTATACAAACAAGGTGACACGATATACTAGTAGACACAGGGTAACACGATATACACACATACACATACATATATCATGTCCCCAGAAACTACTCTGATCCGAGAAGTGAAGGTATACAAACACGGTGACACGATATACTAGTAGACACAGGGTAACACGATATACACACATACACATACATATATCATGTCCCCAGAAACTACTCTGATCCGAGAAGTGAAGGTATACAAACACGGTGACACGATATACTAGTAGACACAGGGTAACACGATATACACACATACACATACATATATCATGTCCCCAGAAACTACTCTGATCCGAGAAGTGAAGGTATACAAACACGGTGACACGATATACTAGTAGACACAGGGTAACACGATATACACACATACACATACATATATCATGTCCCCAGAAATTACTCTGATCCGAGAAGTGAAGGTATACAAACAAGGTGACACGATATACTAGTAGACACAGGGTAACAAAAAACGATATACACACATACACATACATATATCATGTCCCC